CCACACTGTCCACATTCCACACTGGTCCACACTGCCCACACTGTCCACATTCCACACTGGTCCACACTGTCCACAGTCCACACTGTCCACATTCCACACTGGTCCACACTGCCCACACAAGTCCACACTGCCCACAGTCCACACTGCCCACAGTCCACACTGCCCACACAAGTCCACGGAGTCCACAGTCCACATTGTCCACACTGCTCGAAAGTGTGCGCGACTGTCCTGAATCCAGTGCGCATAGAGTTAAAAACAAGGAGCTGAACACTTTGACAACCGGCTCAGAATAATTCAAAATGGCGAATGGATCGTGTATCTATAAATTATGACCAGTGTTTCAACGAAAAACGTTATTAGAGCGATCTTCAAAGGGAAGGAAGATTGTTTTTGTATATTATTGAGGAAAAGGCGATATAAAATGAGTGGTAAGTGCAGTAGTCACAGCGTGTATAGCTTCGATTGGCTGCATGATCCATCCAACCTTTCAAACAACCCTCAAATGCTCGTTTGAAATTCCGTTAGATTATTCGGAAAGTTATAGTCCATTTTTCAGTGCTTGTATAGTACTGTAAATTCAAACTAGTGGTGTGATTCAGGGCCGGCTAATGACAACCAATCTGAAAATGGCTATATCTATAGACATAATTAACTTAAATCATGAAACAAACATTAGTACTGTTTCTGCTAAATACAGTAGTACCAGTGTTGATGAGGCAATAAAAAACAAGGAAATAAGAAAAGTTAGCGGTTTTTTTTTACTATTTTTTGTTTCAAGGAACTCCAATACCAAATACATTGTATACTCAGGGTTCATGCCTTGAAAAGCCCTGGGATTGAAGTTATGTTTTTAAGGTGCACAGGAAAAGCTCTTGAAAATACTAGGAGTAAACTCTAAAATTCTGGAAAATCTTGAATTTCTTGCAAATCTTTTTTTCATCAGATATAATGCATAATCCTTTTAAAATGTGTTGGGCCTAAGAACCACTATAAAATTGTTAGCTCACCTTTTCTAATTGTAATCATGTTCAAAATGCAATTTTGGAAGATTAGAAGGAAAAGTATGGGAAAGTATGTCAGCATTAGAATATGGTACCACATTTCATTAAACATGATCAGTATGTTCTTTATTCATGAATATCTCAAAATGTAATAAAGAATAAATCATACATATTCAAAACAGAATTTAAAGTACAGACTGAGTACTGTTAACTTTTGCTAAGAAACTTGTAATCCAACCTTAACATATTATTATGTATTGAAAACAAAAATGTCTATTGAATGCTCGTCATATTTTCAAGTACTTGCTAACACTAACATTCAGTGCATGTCTTACAAACTAGTTGAATTTTACACTGGTATTTTTTATTTATGTTTAGGGCTGATATCAGGGAAGCCATACTTTGTAGAAATAAATGTCATCCAGTTTTCAAAAACTAATCAGTTAAAAAAATTCAAACAATGCATATTTCAAACCACATGTATATTACATTCTGTTTCTGTAGAGCAAGTCTAGTTTTGAAAACGAAACAGACTGGACTATGTCAGATTGGAAACCTAAATACCAACAAAGGTACTTAGTCTTAAGCTGAGTCTTTTCAATTGAAATTTTACTCAAAGTTGTAAATTGTTTTCCACTTGTTTAAGATAAAATTGTCGAAAGAGTTCTGCCTGTTGTGTATTCTTTGCAAGTTTGTTTTTGATTGCACTAACTGGATGATGGGATATTGGTACATTCATCTCCTCAGCAGCCTGAGCTGTAGGCTCTCCCCTCTCTTCCCTGACGGCTGGGCGCATTGGGTTCGCTATTGTCAGTCTTGACCAATCAGCGAGTGGCCCCCGATATTTTCAGGGGCATATCATTAATAAATTAGCAGGCAGCAGTGTAACAAAATGACGGACAATTCGGCGTTCGAGATTCTCTTTGAAAGTGCTTGTTTTAAGGCTCTGAAGTCGTTTAGCTTGGACGAATTTAGAGAAATACAGCAAAAGGCTCTTAAAGAGATTGTTCTTGGAAAAGATGTCCTTGTTATTCTTCCTACTGGCTCGGGCAAATCTCTTATTTTTCAAATAGCGCCACTAGTGTATTTTGCTCGTTTTTCTGGCAGATAATACATCCATTTGGATTATTAAACCCTACACATGTTTTGCTTGGGGTAATTTCCATTCCTTTTTCTTTTTTAAAGCGCTAACTATTACATTATATCGCTACGCGAAGTTTTCATTTCACATAATTTCCCGCCTTGTAGCAAAACCTTTACAGCTGTTGTCAGATATTTCACTTCCGTTCACTGAAAAATTCACTTCCGTTACGTCATAATATGCTAATTACACAAAAACGTCACGGACATGCGCGACACGTTTCGAACCCCATGCGCCCAGCCGTCAGGGAGAGAGTATCGCGGGCGCACGAAATCCCGACGGCTGGAGACTGAGCCTACCTGAGCTGTGGAAACAATGTTTTTGTACTCAGGCATAATATAAAAATTAGGTAAAACCTAATAGCGGAGCTCCCAAAAGATATGCATGTTGGATGAAGATGTGATGCAAGACACAATTGGTCAGATTTTTAGTACATGTTTTGTCAAGACTAATTTATTTTTGCTAACAAAAAAATTCCATGGCACTACATTAAATAATTATTAAACTTTTTCTCTTCAGCTTTGCATTGTTGATGAAAATCAGTAATATATATAATTATATGTAAAGAAAACCACTTATTTTGAATTCTTGTGGTTATTTACCAAAATAAAACTTCCTTAGATAATCTTACAGAAATCATAAATTAATATTGATTCTTAATATATTTTGAAACTTTGACATTTTTCAATCATACAGGAATTATAAATAATATTTTAAAATGCATTTTGGCAGTTTTGGTATTTTTCAATCATTAAAGGAATCATAAAATAATAACAAATGCATTTTGACAGTTTTTAAATTTTTCAATCATGCAGAAATAATAAAAATAATAACAAATGCATCATGTCAATAGAAATTGTTTGCAATTTTGTTGTTTTAAATTCTTAATAGCTGATATTTTTCAATCTTTACAGGAATCATCAAATAATATAAATGCATTTTGACAGTTTTGGCATTATTCCATCATGCAGAAATCATAAATTCATATTCTTGAAATGTTCAAACTTTTTGATCTTCTAGTGTTTATGTAACTACTTTTGCTTACACCAATGTCATTTAATAGACAGAACATTACAGCTGTCGCTGAAGATATGAGTAGTTAGGACCCCTACTTGGGCATCGTTAAATTAATAATCCCAAATAATTAATAACATTCCAGGATGTAACATTCCAAGTTATGAATGGAAGGGGAAACAAAGGGAAGGGATTAACATTCCAAGTTTGAGTAAATAGAAACGCGTGTCGTTTT